TCTCTCTCTCTCTCTCTCACACACACACACACACACGCGCGCACACCCAGGAGCGACCATCTCCTCTGCGTGCTTACGTGCCTAGTGCGCATCTGCTTGGTCGACTGCCCGCAATGACCTTCTATTAATTGCGTGATTGATTGATCGATTGGCTGGCCGATTGATAGCGGGGGAGGGATTTTGAGAGATGTCGTTGGTCGATCGATTGGGTGCTTGATTGCTTAATGGGTTGGTTGATTTCATGCACCTATCAAGCTCATGAGCACAGCCTGAACTTCTGCGAACACTTCATCTGCACTGGGCACTGATGATATGACCTTGAGGATGCCAGGATGCTTCTCTCGGTAATAATTGATGACTGGGCTCAAGGAATGCATGAACGTCTCAAGCCGATGCTTGATTGTTTCCACGTTATCGTCTTTCCTGCTGCCTGTTTCGGCCCTCTTCAACAGCCTCGCTTCTAGTATTTCCACCGGGCTTTCGAAGTACAACACGTACGTCGGCAGGCCTATCCTTGCCTCATAGAGGTGCGCCTGATCTAGCGTTCGCGGGAACCCATCGATCAAGAACCGTTTGGCCGAGCTGCGCTCCATCGCTGTCTGCAGCAGGTGCAACGCCACGTCCGTCGGTACCAGTTCCCCTTCCTTCATCGTCTTGTCAACTGACAGCCCCGTCGGCGTCCCTTTTCTGACTTCATCCCTCAGCAGATCGCCAACCGACAAATGCACGAACTTGAACACCTTTTTCACGTTGGAGCACTGCATGCCCTTTCCGGACCCGGGCCCTCCCAGCACAAAGATCACAGTGTTCTGCGTCCCCGGCTTCTGGATCACACCATAAGCGAACAGATTGACGGAATTCAGCGCTTTGACGACGTCCTTGTACACCGTCTGAGGCTCTAGCTCGGCCGAGATCTTCTTGAACCTCTGAGGAGACACCTTGGCATAGTGATCGGCAACTGGTCGGGTGGCATCCAAGAAGGTCTGAAGACGTTTCTGTATGGTCTCAGGGTTGTCATCCCCCCTTCCACTGGTCTTGGCGCGATTCATAAGTCGAGTCTCCATGGTCTGCAAACTGCAGTCGAAGAACAAGATCAACGTCGGCGGTTGGATGGTACTCTCGAGAGCTTCAGCTTGCTCGATCGAGCGGGGAAAGCCGTCAATCAAAAACCTTTTGCTAGGGGATCTCTTCATGGCTGCGCGGAGCAAGTTTAGGGACATCTCCGTGGGCACTAGCTTGCCCTCCTTCATGATCGTGTCGCAAGACTTCCCGATGTCTGTGCCCCTTTGCACCTCGTCCCGCAGCAAATCCCCAACCGAGAGATGGTGGAAATCGAAGTCGTGAACCATGTACTCGCACTGCGTGCCTTTGCCACAACCTGGGCCTCCCAAAACCACCACCGTCATCACCTCTTCGTCCTCAGCCCTTGGGGCCTTCGCCATGGCCATTACATGCTCATGCTTGGGGTCCTTCTCCCCCGTCACCATTTTCCCGTGTCCATGTCCTCCCCTTTCTCTGTCCTGGTTCGAGCCCACGCCGCTGGCGTGATCCTCCTCACCACCCTTCTTGTGCGTCTTGTCATCTTTCGCCTTGTTCGTCTCCTTCGTCCCCTTCCCGCCATCTTTCGCTTTGGTCGTCTCCTTCCCGCCATCTTCCGCCTTGGTCGCCTCCTTCCCGCCATCTTTCCCGTCGCTCTTCTCTTTCTTCCCACCAGCCACTTCCCCGTGATGGCCACCATCAACTTTCGTCTTGCTCGTCTCCTCTTTCACGTGCGCTCCGCTTCCGTGGTGGTCGCCATGGCCTTTTGCCATGCTCTTCGCCTCTACTCCTTTTTGGTCTTCACCTATCGCCTTCGCCTTCTCCTGTGTTGTCCCTGCTCCCGCAAGCTCTCCGTGGCTCTTCATCTCGCTCATCTTTCCTCCCTGATCTGCTACACCGTGATGATTGGTATCACCACCTTTCGCCTTGCCTGCCACCTCTCCTCCAGCTCCTCCACCCCCTTTGTCCCCTGTCTCCTTCTTCGCCCCGTCAACTACGTGACCCTTGGCGCCATCGCTCTTCATCTTCGTCTCGTCGCTATGATCCGCGCTCTTAGGCTTTTCGCCGTCAGGCGGCTTGCCAACCGCCCTCACACATCCGCATCCCATGCTGACCAAACGCACGGCTCTCTCTCTCTCTCTCTCTCTCTCTCTCTCTCTCTCTCTCTCTCTGTTGCCCTCGCCTAGCACCCTTCCGTCCCTACCTATGTACAAGGGGTGAATGTTGACTCCAGAAGGCGCCCATCTTCTTGCCTAGCAATTCCAACTCACGTTCAATTAGTCGAAGTGTTTTTGACATAATTGGCCAGTTTCCCTGTCGGGAGCTCGGTGTGGGTTGGGCCCAACTGGGACCGCAGAAAAGTGAGAGGGCCAGAATTCCGGTCCAAAAGGATGGCTCCGGCGACATACCTTTTGATTTAAAAATACCCTTTGATTTAAAAAAGGGGTATCACCGCCTTTTCCTATTTCTGTCTCCCCGTCCTGGTCTTCCTCCTCGTCTCCTCTCTTGTAACTTCTGCAATCTCTTCCATGCAGCCAGAAGGCAAACCTATCCCGACCCATTGACAACTCTCAAGTTCAGCTCAAACTGGAACTACGCCAGCAAACGGTTGGGGTTGCAGATGCTGACGTCATGTCTGGTCAGGTCCATATCTTGGTCCCTCCCCAGCCTCCCTCCGTTACAGCTAATCCCACACCTTCGTCGGACAGGCTATAGCTCATCTGTCTGCCACTATCGACAGCGGCGGGAAGGATTGTTGGCAAATCCATGCAATTAGCCGGCGACAGGCCAAGAAAAAGGCCACTCGTAGAGCCCTGTGCATCCGTTGGTTTGGGGGAAGTGCTCTACCGTAGTGGCCCCTTATGGTCCCGCCCGGCCGTAGGGGAGTGCCCGTACCATCTGTCTAAGACAGTGGTCCGTCCCTCAAGGGCCTCAAGTAAACAATTGAGAAGCGAGAGTGGCGGTCCTGCAATGCATGTGTGACATGCCAGTCGCGAGTGATACTGCAATGCATGTGTGACACGCCAGTCGCGAGTGATAGTTAGGATGTTGTAGCGCGCATGTGACAACATATAGAGTGTCCCACGTGGAACTGATCAGGGATCTAGATCCTATTTGCAGGGTTTGGATCTGGATGTCCACAAGAATTTGGGAGAAACTTCATAAGCCCAGACTCCACTTGGAACCTCTCGTCAGCGAGATGCTGGTGAGTGGATTCTGGTCCCAAATGGAATCAGGTCCCAAGTGGAATCTGGGCCTGTATATCTTGCTACGTGTGAGCAAATCGAGAATTGTCTACCGCGTGGGCGCGGGGAACGCAGCCCTAAGGTAGCCAAATCAATGAGACTAAGAGCTAACACGAGAGAGAGAGAGAGAGAGAGAGAGAGAGAGAGAGAGAGAGAGAGAGAGAGA